AAGAGCTACACTGTACATGAATCGAGTGCTTCTAACGATTATTTCAAGTATCGCACATGCAAGGCAAGCAGCTTGACATTCTACCCGATGGCCAGCTGAACTGAGCAGTGCACGCGCGTTAAGGCGCTTACTCGTCCGTGACGCAGCCCTCCGAGGCAGACTTCACGTTCTTGATGAACTTGTACAGAGTGCCGCGAGTGGCCTTCAGAGGAGGAGCGACCCACTGCTTCTTGCGCTCCGCCAGCTCCTCAGCAGTCACGTCCACCAGGTCGATGCGGTTCTTCTCCGCGTCCACCGTGATCTTGTCGCCGTTCTTCACCAGAGCGATGGGGCCACCAACCTGCGCCTCGGGCGTGATGTGGCCGATGATGAAGCCGTGCGAACCGCCAGAGAAGCGGCCGTCAGTGAGCATGGCAACGTCCTTGCCGAGGCCAGCGCCCATGATCGCAGACGTCGGGGCAACTGAAACGAACAGCAAAAACACATCACGTCAGAAACACGGCAACACACGCGTCAAGATCGAGAGCGGATAGCAGAAAACTTACGCATCTCCGGCATGCCGGGGCCACCCTTGGGGCCTTCGTAGCGGATGATGACAACGCTTCCCTTCGTGATCTCGTTGTTCTCCACAGCCGCAAGCATGTCTTCTTCGCAGTCGTACACCTTCGCCGTACCCGTAAACGTCAACCCTTCCTTGCCAGTAATCTTGGCCACAGAGCCCTCCGGAGCCAGGTCGCCACGAAGAATGCGCAAGTGTCCACTGGACTTCAGAGGACGATCAACCGGGTGGATGATCTCGTGGTTGTCTGACAGATCCGGCACGTTCTCGAGATTCTCCGCTAGCGTCTTGCCGGTCACCGTGAGGACGTCGCCGTTAATGTAGCCTTGCTTCATGAGGTACTTGAGGACAGCAGGGGTGCCACCGACACGGTGAATATCTTCCATGACGTATCGGCCACTCGGCTTGACATCAGCAAGGAAAGGCACGCGCTCGCTGACCTTCTCGAAGTCGTCGATGGTCAACGGAATGCCGGCCGCACGAGCGATAGCGATCAGGTGCAGCACGGAGTTCGTCGATCCGCCCAACGCCATCGTACTGGTGATAGCGTTCTCGAAAGACTCGCGACAAAGAATGTCAAGCGGCTTGATGTTCTTCTCCAGCAGCAGCTTAATGGCCTCGCCAGCACGCAGACACTCGTCCTGCTTCTCCGTCGAAGTGGCAGGAGAGCTGGAAGAGTAGGGCAGACTCAGACCCATTGTCTCGATAGCCGTAGCCATCGTGTTGGCAGTGTACATGCCGCCGCAAGCACCCGCTCCAGGGCAAGCGTGGCGAATAATGTCGTGACGCTCTTCCTCCGTGATCTTGTTGGTCAGGTATGCACCGTAAGCCTCCGACGCGGACACGTAGTCGATCGTCTCGCCCTTGGAGCTGCAGCCAGCACGGATGGTGCCGCCGTACACCATCAGCGACGGACGGTTCACGCGCGCCATGGCGATCACACACCCAGGCATGTTCTTGTCGCAGCCGGGGATGCAAATGTTCGCGTCGTACCACTGGCCGCCCATGACCGTCTCGATCGAGTCGGCGATCAGGTCGCGCGACTGCAGGCTGTAGCTCATGCCGTCCGTGCCCATGCTGATGCCGTCGCTCACGCCGATCGTGTTGAAGCGCAGACCCACGAGGCCCGCGGCGTTCACGCCCTTCTTCACCTCGCCCGCCAGGTCCAGCAGGTGCATGTTGCACGGGTTGCCCTCCCACCACATGGAGGCGATGCCCACCTGCGGCTTGTCCATGTCTTCCTCGGTCATGCCCGTGGCGTACAGCATGGCCTGCGAGGCGCCGCGCGCCTTGGGCTGCGTCACGGTGGCGCTGTAGCGGTTGATGCGCACGCCGTCGACGGCCTTGGGCGAGTCGCCGCCCGACGTGGCGAACGCGCGCTGCAGCAGCGTCTTGCGCAACGGCGAGGAGGCGCCGGAACGCATCGTCTTGCTCAGCATCTCGGAGACTTGCGAGGTGTCTGCAGGAATGACCGGCAGCAAGTGCTGACGTTTGGCGGATACCGTGTGAAGGGATCTTTTCTGGTGGTGAGGGCGTTTGGCCAATCATCTTCAATGAGATAAAGACGGGACGGGAATTGATCTGACTGGCGAAAATGCAGGATATAAATCGGAGATTGGTGGAAAAGAGCATGATGTGGTGCACACCACGTGATGATTGCGCGCACACTTGACCGGTTCAATGTCGTTCACCCCCGCCTCACGATCGTGCATTCCCTCGAGTCGAGGGGAGTTTTCGTGTGGCGAGCCTTGATGCAGGAAGGAAGGAAGCAAGGGCGACTGCATCTGGTCGTGCTTATCCTTAAAGAGACTAAGAGCTACACTGTACATGAATCGAGTGCTTCTAACGATTATTTCAAGTATCGCACATGCAAGGCAAGCAGCTTGACATTCTACCCGATGGCCAGCTGAACTGAGCAGTGCACGCGCGTTAAGGCGCTTACTCGTCCGTGACGCAGCCCTCCGAGGCAGACTTCACGTTCTTGATGAACTTGTACAGAGTGCCGCGAGTGGCCTTCAGAGGAGGAGCGACCCACTGCTTCTTGCGCTCCGCCAGCTCCTCAGCAGTCACGTCCACCAGGTCGATGCGGTTCTTCTCCGCGTCCACCGTGATCTTGTCGCCGTTCTTCACCAGAGCGATGGGGCCACCAACCTGCGCCTCGGGCGTGATGTGGCCGATGATGAAGCCGTGCGAACCGCCAGAGAAGCGGCCGTCAGTGAGCATGGCAACGTCCTTGCCGAGGCCAGCGCCCATGATCGCAGACGTCGGGGCAACTGAAACGAACAGCAAAAACACATCACGTCAGAAACACGGCAACACACGCGTCAAGATCGAGAGCGGATAGCAGAAAACTTACGCATCTCCGGCATGCCGGGGCCACCCTTGGGGCCTTCGTAGCGGATGATGACAACGCTTCCCTTCGTGATCTCGTTGTTCTCCAGACCAGCCATCATGTCCTCCTCGCAGTCGTACACCTTCGCCGTACCAGTGAAGACAAGACCCTCCTTGCCGGTGATCTTAGCCACCGAACCCTCCGGGGCCAGGTCACCGCGCAGGATGCGCAGGTGTCCGCTGGACTTCAGCGGGCGGTCCACGGGGTGGATGATCTCGTGGTTGTCCGAGAGATCGGGCACCTGCTCGAGGTTCTCCGCGAGCGTCTTGCCCGTCACAGTCAGGCAGTCGCCGTGGATGAAGCCCTGGTTCAACAGGTACTTCAGGACAGCGGGGGTGCCACCCACGCGGTGGATGTCCTCCATCACGAACTTGCCACTGGGCTTGAGGTCGGCGAGGAACGGCACGCGCTCGCTGATCCTCTCGAAGTCGTTGATGGAAAGCGGGATGTTCGCGGCACGAGCGATAGCGATCAGGTGCAGCACGGCGTTGGTGGATCCACCCAGAGCCATGGTGACCGTGATGGCGTTCTCGAAAGCCTCGCGGCTCAGGATGTCAAGCGGCTTGATGTCCTTCTCGAGCAGAACCTTGATCGCCTCACCGGCGTGGACGCACTCGTTTTGCTTCTCGGGCGAGTCAGCAGGGAAACTGGAAGAGAACGGCAGACTCAGACCCAGCGTCTCAATGGCCGTAGCCATCGTGTTGGCAGTGTACATGCCGCCGCAAGCACCCGCTCCAGGGCAAGCGTTGCGAATGATGTCATGGCGCTCTTCCTCAGTGATACGGCCAGCAATGTACTCGCCGTAGGCCTGGAAAGCCGAGACGACATCGAGCGTCTCGCCCTTGGAGCTGCAGCCAGCACGGATGGTGCCGCCGTACACCATCAGCGACGGACGGTTCACGCGCGCCATGGCGATCACACACCCAGGCATGTTCTTGTCGCAGCCGGGGATGCAAATGTTCGCGTCGTACCACTGGCCGCCCATGACCGTCTCGATCGAGTCGGCGATCAGGTCGCGCGACTGCAGGCTGTAGCTCATGCCGTCCGTGCCCATGCTGATGCCGTCGCTCACGCCGATCGTGTTGAAGCGCAGACCCACGAGGCCCGCGGCGTTCACGCCCTTCTTCACCTCGCCCGCCAGGTCCAGCAGGTGCATGTTGCACGGGTTGCCCTCCCACCACATGGAGGCGATGCCCACCTGCGGCTTGTCCATGTCTTCCTCGGTCATGCCCGTGGCGTACAGCATGGCCTGCGAGGCGCCGCGCGCCTTGGGCTGCGTCACGGTGGCGCTGTAGCGGTTGATGCGCACGCCGTCGACGGCCTTGGGCGAGTCGCCGCCCGACGTGGCGAACGCGCGCTGCAGCAGCGTCTTGCGCAGCGGCGAGGAGGCGCCCGAGCGCAGCATCGTCTTGCTCAGCATTTTGTCTTGCGGTCGAGAGGCTCTGGGGCTGGGGAGCTGCGAGCGGTCGGATCGAAGAGTGGCAGGTGCTTGGGGCTGATGCTGGTGGTGCAGAGACCGTGGTGAACACCATTTGGTGTTTGGCCATTCACTTTTGTGGATCGAGAGTTGGGATTGGTCGAAAAGAGAAGCGCCACGAGAACTTTCCCTGACTGAACAAAAGTGTGCACGGTCGTTTTACACGTTGAAGTGTGAGCAGGAAACTCCAACTAATGCCAGCCGACCAATGCAGCGCAGCAGCAAGAACGAGGCGGACGAGTACGACCTGGAGGGAGTCACGGCGAGGCTGGCGTCGATGGAGGCCAGGCGACGACGGCGCAAGGACCAAAAGAACGCAGACGCGGCGCAGCAACAGCAGGAGCTCGATAGGAAGATCTCTTGCGGGTTTGACTTGGCGCCAGCTGAGCTATCGAGTGGCTCAGACAGTGACGATGACTATTGCTCTAGCAGTACGAATTCGCTACCAAGTGACAGTGAGCGCGGGAGTCGGACTAGAGCACCGAAGCTTCGGGTGGTAGATAGCCTGGATCTATCCATGTCCGTTGTTGCGTTTGGTGAAGAACTAAGTTCCCCGCATCAAACTGGCCCAGAATGTATCAAAAGTAGCAGTACGAATGTGCGGCCGAGTCTGTTGAAGCTGCCGGGCAGGAAACTTGACAAGACAATCTACGGCGAGCAGATAGGGGGCAACACTGTCTGTGGAACCTCTCGAATACCGAAGCTTGTAGAACGGCGTCGGCAGATGCAGGCGGTGGGGAAACCTGCTAATGAGGCGATGAATGCCCGAGAAACCTCTTCAGTGGCCGCAAAGAACGGGGTAGATAAACATCCATCGGTGTCTTCAGGTGACCGAGCAAAACTGCGCCATTCGACTCAGGTTCCCACAAGAAAGCCAAACCAGACCACTGTTGAGGTGAGACCGAAGGACAATGAGAATGCTTCCGTGAATGCGCAAAGCATTCTCGATGACATCGACTCTAGCACAGCGGAAGAGCGGCAGCTGCTGCAATCTCTGGAGAAGCTCAACCAACGCCTATCACACGTCAGCACTCCTGCTGTAGTTGTACTCGAGAGTGGTCATCAAGTGAATCAAAGCGAGTTGCACGTAAGTGCCTTTCAGAACTCCAGCTCAATTGACACCAACAAAAATGAAGTCGACGAAAACCATCTACGAGCTGCAGCGTATGGGGGAGGTACGCACTGCAAACCCCGTCAGCCTTCATCTGCATCGCTGCGCTCATCTTCTGTAAAACGCGCGGAGCTGTCGGAAGGAATTCACAAAGCTCGAGTTCGCGTAGGAGGCGCAACAGTCCACGATGGGGGCCGCAACAGCTCCGCAGGTGGAGCCGGCAAACACAAAATCGTAGTGAAAAAAGATCTTGCACATTTACTTTTCTAACAAGAACTTTCATGCATGCTGGTGACTATATCCTGACTACAGCTCTCCACAATCCACGATTGCAACTTCATTTTCGGGCACAGGGCGACTGTTGCCCTTGCTTACTTTCACGTTCTGCATCGCGTCCACGACGTCCAGCCCTTCAATCACCTCACCAAACACCACGTGCTTTCCATCCAGATTCTTGAGGTTTGCTTTCGTCGTAATGAAAAACTGCACGGGTCCAAACAAAAGTCAGCGTGAATACACTATCAGTAAAGCAGACATCTCTACAGCTTTCAAAGTTAGGCCAGTAAAATACCTGCGAACCGTTGGTATTCTTGCCGGCGTTAGCCATCGACAGTAGCCCCACATCGTCGTGAGGCATAAACTTCTCGTCCTTGAAGTTTCCCCATAAATCGCCGTGTGGGGTACCGCGATAAATGCTCTGGCCACCGGTGCCGTCACCTGTAGTGAAATCTGAGATCACGCAGCACACCGTCAAACAAGAGCGCGGGTTAAAAGAAAATGGGAAAAAGCGATTACTTACCTCCGCCTTGGACCACAAAGTCTTTGATAATGCGATGGAACTTGCAGCCTTTGAAGTGCAGAATTCCACCCTGCATGAACAAGTAGTGTTAGATACTGTGTGCCAGCCCAACCATAACCAGCAAACTCAGAGCCATAAGTACCTTCTCGCCGGTGCACAGAGCGCGGAAGTTCTCAGAAGCGAGCGGAATGTCGTCCTTTCGTAGACGCATGGTGATTCGTCCCGCAGGCGCCCCAGCAATCGAGATATCCATGTAAACAGTAGGATCGCTGTCTTTGGTGATAAACTTCTTCTTTCGCTGTTGCAGACTCAAGCCTGCATCGACCACGTAGCGTTCATGGAGCTTCTGAAATAGCTCTTCTTCACGACCGCTATAAGCCCCCAGTGTGCGATCGACTGCACCAAGCTTGGAAGGGTTGTATTTGGTGTAGAACGCCACCAACCGTTCCCTGTAATCACGTCCAGATTTCAGAGCTAGCGACGCCCCCTCGTCCTTTGTCGTGTTCGTAGCAACAACACTCGACTGCCTTGCGTCTGCTTTGAGTTGGCTGGAGCCCAGTCCGTAGCCTCGCTGCAGTAGCTTTTCCGCGAGGCTAGATCCCAAACTGCCACCCGTCGCGCCCAAATCAGCATCCTTCTTCTCGCCAATGTGTGACGCCTCATCCACCAGCTCTTGGTGCTGCTTGCGCCACGACTGCTGCGATCGCTGCCGAAATGTTGTCTCCGACTCGGAGTCCGGGCCGATGGAGTTGCTGAGGTTGCTCGACCCTCCCGACGTGCTGAGCTTCTGCTTCGCCTCCTGCGAAGCCTCCTCCAGGTTGTCCAGCACCGGGTCGTCGCGCAGCTTCTTGGCCTCCTCCCACTTGTCCAGCGACTTCTTCTTGAACGCCGTCGCCAGCGCCACACTCTCGGGGTCCGTCACGACCTGGGCGTCTGCATTCTCCCACTACGAGACCGCCGAACAGAGAGAGCAACACGCACACACAATTAGTTAGTCAGATGCCGTAGTCTATCGACCCACAGGAAGCCAGCAGCCGCGCAGCACTCACGTCGAACAGCCGCACCGGGCGCCGCGGCAGCTCGTCCATCTTGTAGTGGCTCCACAATTGTGTACGATTGTGTGTGATTTATGTTCCGTACACTTATTTCACCGTCCTCTGTGATTCGCCGAAACTCGTTTCGAGCCAGCGATTGGCCAGGGGCAGCGATTGGCGGCGGGTGGCTCGGGAGCCGCCGCAGCCCCATGTTGCTCCATTTCCTCTTCCCCGGTGAAACCTCGAAGTAAAATGGTGTTTGAGAAGCCGATCGTTGTCGACTGCCGCGGCCACCTGGTGGGCCGCCTGGCCTCCCTGATCGCCAAGGAGCTCCTGCAGGGCCAGCACGTCGTGGCTGTGCGTTGCGAGCAGCTTGAGATCTCCGGCTCGCGTACGTATTCCCCCTGAAGAACTGTAATTGTGTATCCAGCAGAGACAGACAGGTGCAGGCCGCCCAGCATCAAGCTGTACGCCCGGGTCCAGCACCTCTGCTGCCTATGGGCCTTCGGGTGTGCAGTTGAGGGCGCCGGCCCAGTCGCGTTAGGAAGTGAAGCAGGGTGTCTCGCTGCGTAGAGATTGTTTGAGTGTGGCAAGGAGAGCTGCCTGTCGAGCGTGTTTGACTTTCCGATCACCGCCCGCGTCGACTCGCCCAGACCGCGGGTCATTCGTCGTCGTCTTCGGGTTCTTCAGCTGCTGCGCCGCCGCGTTCCGCGTCGGATTTTGCTTCGAGGTGGAGCGTGAAGATGTGGAACGTGTGTCGAAGGGACTTGCGTTGAGTGGCAAGCCATGGAGAAGCTGGAGATGATAGAGTGACTCCAAGTGAGCGAGTCGACCCGGACGAGGAAACGACGATGGCAATCGCTGCAAACCTCCCCAAACATGCAAAAGTCGCTGCGTGCAGACACCCTGCGGAGCTGCTCGACATCTCTGGATGTTGTTGTGGTGAAGCAGCGGTGTGTCATGCCGTCTGGCTGTGTGGTCTCGAGAACGGATTACTGATGTGATCTGCTCTTGCTTCCACGAATACAACAGACGTGCGCAACAAAGTCAAGTTCTTCCAGTTCTTGAACAAGCGTACGGCCACCAACCCCAAGAAGGGCCCCATCCACTACCGTGCCCCGTCGCGCATGCTGTGGCGCACGATCCGTGGCATGCTGCCGCACAAGACGGCCCGTGGTGCCGCCGCCCTGCAGCGACTTAAGGTACGGCGAGTCTGCAACTGAATTATTGTTGATCATTTAATACTTACTTGCTATAACTTGTTTGATTGCAGACGTTCGACGGCATCCCGTCGCCGTACGACAAGCAGAAGCGCATGGTCATCCCCCAGGCTCTGCGTGTGCTGCGCCTGAAGGCCAACCGCCGCTACACCGTCCTTGGCGACCTCGCCTCGGAGGTCGGCTGGCGTCACGCCGAGCTGGTCAAGCGTCTCGAGGCCAAGCGTACGCTCAAGTCGGACGCCTTCTACAAGAAGAAGGTTGCCCAGCAGAAGCGTCTTGCCGAGGCCGAGGCCAAGGTGTTCGCCGAGAACTCGGAGCTCAAGCCCACGCTTGCCAAGTACGGCCACGCTCTTTAAGTTGGTGGCTGCTTCATTTGAATTCTTGGTTCGCACCCTTGAGAACAATGGCAGACGCTATTCCCATTGAGTCACTTGCTTCTAATACACAATGGAAACGTTGAGGAAATTTCACCGTCACTTGTTCTACATCGTTTGTTGCTACTCAATTCTTAGTGTCCGCACCATGGGATTCATTCCTTCGATCCAAGCAAGATGCAGTGATCAATCAGCCAACGATGCTCGTAGCCCTGAGTTTGATCATTCACCACGTTATCCGTTGCCCGTTCCTATCTTCTACAACACGAAAATGAATCAAACTGGCGACTACAAGCCGTCAAAGGCGCTAAACTTGTCGCCACTCTGCTGCTGCGGCGCATACGGGTCGTACCCAGCGGCTTGGATCTGCAACATCTGACCGGGGCCGGCAAGCCCCATGTTGCCACCTTGACCGTAACCACCGCCGCCGCTCATAGGGGCTTGCTGCTGCATCCCGTACGGAGTCATTTGCATCATGCCGGGGTTGTACTGCTGCTGCTGCTGGTTCATCATGCCATTGCCCATGTTCTGGCCGTAAGGCACCACGCCTTGCTGCTGAGCCATCGGGTTCGACTGCATCCCCATCGTGTTCTGGCTTGTGTACGTTGGTGCTCCCGACTGGACGCCACCGCTCATACCCATGCTCATACCATTAAACATTTCACCACCACCACCGTTGGAACCTGGCGCCGCAGCAGGTGCTGGAGCAGCAGGGAGAGCAGTGAGCAGATTGCCAGTGTCGAGAAGATCGTTTGACGTGGTAGACGGCTGCGCGAATGTAAAGAATAATACAACACGTGAGCAATGAGAGCCTTCCTCAAGTCCCAACCAGCAATTGTACGCACCTTGGAAGCAGTAGCATCCATACCCAGCAGATCAGCGTTTCCATCGTCCTTCTTGCCTGCACGACGGTTGTTGGACCGTGCACTTCCCTTCTTGCCTGCACGGCGGCGTGCCGAGAACGACTCCGCACGCTCCGCTGCTGACTCGCGGTGACCAGCCGAGTCACGCCGCTCCGTTCTGGTGCTCTGCGTCCTGCTGCTAGAGGACGATTTGGAGTCGCCCAGGTAGAACGGGTCGTCCGAGTAACGGTCGGGCCTCTGGTTCTGTCCGGCCTCCGGTTCGGGCTGCTTCTTCGGGACGTATTCTTCAGACAGCAGTTTATTTGCTGCAGCAACGCCCGACTCCTTCTCCTTCGAGGCCTCCGCGGCACGAACGGCTTCAGACATTCCAGAAGCGGCCGTAATGCCTGTAGTCACAGAGCTAACAGAGCTATGCGAAGTGAAGGACTTGTCACGCTCGCTAATCACAGCCTTGAGCATGTCCTGAATTTTCTCGCACACCATGTCAAACTGCGAGTTGTTCAAGGTCTGCTCCCACAAAAGCGGAGCCACCGCAGGGATGATCAGCTTTGCCGTGAACTCCGGACCCAGATGCTTGCCGAGGTTATCGTAGCAGCCGAGGATGCACATACACGCGGCGGGGGTCTTGTCTTCGTGAAGAGTCTGCTGCAGAGTGGGCAGCACGCTCTCAATCAGCAGGTCCTTGTCAAACACGTGGAACGACTTGGCCAGCCAGAGCAAGGCGTTGATTCGCACGGAAGGCTGCGGTGGAGTAAGAATGAGCTTGTTCACGCGCGGCAAAATCACCTGCTTCAGGATGCGGTACTCGAACAAGCTCGCTTGGTCCACAATCTTGTTCAGCACGGTGTCCAGGATTTCAGGCACCGTGCTATCCAAAGCACGGCAGAGCATAGGCACAACGTGGTCGCGAATATAGCCGTCCTCGGCCTTCGGGATGAGCGTTTCCAGCTCGGACACGAACATCAGCATACATTGCACAGGCTCCGTGATGGCCAGCAGAGGGACCATCATGGGCGCGATCGAGTACGAGAACGTCTGCTTGTCCACCTTGGCCACAATTTTGAGCAGCGGAGTGATCACAAACGGAGCAACAGCCTTGTTAATGACGACCGACTGAAGACCCGGAATGACCATATCACGCAGCACACGCGGCAAGAATCCATCGATAGCGTCGGGCAGCGTCGTGAGGAACTTCGCCTGTGCCGCTGGCTCCTGCTCCACCAAACTTTGCAGCGTCCGCAGGGTCTTGATCGGACCCGAATCAAAGAACGGCGACGCGAGGAACGCGCGGGCCTCGGGACGCTTTGCCGGCTCCACTGACAGCAGCGAACGGATTGTGTTCTGTAGCGCTGTCGGCACTGAGGTCGGGAACGAGATCGGGTGCAGAGACTGCACCTTGTAGCCGTGGGTCATCTTGTTGCCGTCGCGCACATCCAGTACAGGATTGCGTCCGCCGTCGGCACGAGCTGGCACGAAGAGTTCGTACACCAGCAGACCGAGCGAAAACATATCCGCCTTGCAGTCGAACTGGCGCGGCTCGGTGACCAGCTCGGGCGCGCAGTACTCGAGCGGGGGTTCCCAGCTGCCCTCGATCGCTCCAGTCGTCGGGTTCCTCGTGCCCGTGGAGGCGTCGAAGCTGTAGTATTCGCTACGCGACGTCTGTCCTGGCTCCACGACTCGGCAGAAGCCCATGCCGCCGAGCTTCCACTCGCCCTTGGGCGTGATGAAGATGCTGTGCGGGCCGAGACTGAGGTGCACGCGGCGTCCCTCGCGGTGCAGGAAGCTGAGCGCCTCTCCCACGTGCATGAGGCCGCAGGCGAGCTCGAACTCGGTGAGGCCGATCTCGAGCACCTCGGGCGTGACGTTGGCGATGTTGGTGAAGTTCTTGCAGGCGTTGGCCAGCGAGCACGTGACGCGCTCCGTGACGAAGCACAGCGAGCGGCGGCTCTCCTCGAAGACCTCCTCCACCTTGAGCACGTGCGGGTGGCGCAGCACGCGCAGCGTCTTCATCTCCTGGCGCAGGATCTCGAGCACGCGGTCCTGCGCCTCCTTGCTCTTGAGGCGCTTGAGGTCGTCCTTGTCGAAGAGGAACACGCTGTACTCGTGGTTGGTCTTGCGGTGCACGGCCGGGAAGATCTTCCAGCTCAGCTCGTGGCCGCCCGACGCCGTGCAGTCCTTGGGCGTCTCGTAGTGCTTCAGGTACTCCTCGCTCAGCATGCCCTGCAGGTTCTGCGCGCCCGAGACGGCGGCCGACGCCGCGCCCGACACGGCCGTCTGCACGGCGCTCGAGAAGCGGTTCAGCATGCTCATGCTGGGGCCGCCCCCTTCACTTGGAGAATGTATGACTGACGACGCAGCAGAGCCGGGGGGGGGGGGGGTTGACCGGTATTGTCCGGAATATCCCAGGGACCAAAAGTCACCAAAAGTGACCGAAAGTGACCGAAAGTGACCTATTCCTGGCAGTTTTCCTGCTTCCCCCGACAACAATTTTAGCCAATATAATTAGCCCGAGAGCAAACATCACAACAAGTATCCAGGCAAGTTGCCAAGACAGCGAAGCTCCGCATAGCTCACTAAACGTGACAAGCAGCTCGAGAGAGCCGCCGACCATGACGAGATGGCACTAGTACTGACGCTAATGCTGCGTCTTCGCTCAACGCGTCAACGAAGCTCGCTGTTCTCAACGTCAAGATGGCGACTATCAGTGTGGCGCCTGTGGACGGGAGCTAGACCAGCTCTCGGCAGACCAAGCACCTAGAAGTGGTTTTCATGCGATAGCATTAACCCACCGCACCCGTAAGCGTTCCAATGCACCCCCACCTACTCTGAACTGTGCCTAACCACTCTGTGTACTTATGTGTTGTTAGCATAGCGAACAGCTTGAATACAGCAGTATGGAGATTAAGGTCTTCGGCGAGGGTTTGGATGCAGTTTTATTCAATCGAGCCGAGCCATTTGCAAGTGCCAGTGACATAGAGAATAGCAGGGCTTTTGGTACGAAATCAATAACATGATGCTCTCACTATTTGACACAAATACTAACTTGGTCGAAGATGTTTGCATGTAGTATTGATTTATTTTGATACGAAAAACGTGGCAATGGACTGGGTTTTAGATTTCTTTCGCTTTTCGCAGTCTGGGTTCTTGCTGTTTGCGTTGCAACCTCGTTTTCGGGTCCGACAACTCTCGCACGCGGGGCCGTTATCGTTTTCATTGTCTTCCGCTGCTGCTAGCTGCTGCGGCTCTGGCGGCTGGGCGATCTGCTGGAGTGCAAGACTTGGCTGGACAACACGCGTCACTAGTGCAGATTGTGGCATCCTTTCTGCTACTACGGTACTGCTGTTCACTCGTAGCTGCTTCGCATTCCAACTCCGTTGCTTGAGTTGACAGCAAAGAGCATTTTGGTTTAGAGTTCCAGCCGGGTTCATCTTCAAGTACAAAGCATGGATATTAGCCCACTTGCCGTGTGTTCCTTTGGGTATAGTGGCGGCATATTCTAGCAGCGCGGTTTTCGTTTCTTCGCCGAGAATCTCGTGCGTAGGTCTTGTTGGCGGAGTCACCGACAGATTCGGCTCCCTTGTCGACGGAAAAGTTGGCGCGCCAGACGAGGACAGCTCTGCAGATGAACGCAGCGGGACCACGACCGCAGTAGAATCTTGAGGCCTTGGGTGAACGGGTTGCTCGCAGACTCTGCCTTCGACAGAATCAATTTTTGGCTGCTTCAATTTATTTTCTCCAGTTCTCTTGTTGCGACTGTAGTTTTGAGCTCGGCGCAGAGACTCCCAGCGCCGCTCAAGAAACTCGTCACTCTTACGATTAATGTCGGTACATGTGCATGCTGCAAAATGATATACCGAGCGGTACACTTGCTTTACACTTTTGATGCCCGTCGACAATCTCAGAATCTGAAACAAATTTTCTTGAAGCGAGCTCTCGCCTCCGCGATTTTCTTCATCGTTGACCATCTTGTTTTGCACCATCAGGGTCCGAGCCTCTTTGCTTAAGGCTTTAGGCGCGCACTGCGTCAGCTGCAAATCTATAGAGGCTAACCGCCGAGCAATCGCTTGGTGACTGTGCTTCCTGATGGCTATGCTGGGGTTATCCATCCGCCTGACCGCTGCATTATACAGAATCGTTGTGACCACCTCACACTGCTCCCACTTTGCTTCTTTAGAAGCAAGTTGCTCAGCACGCACTTGTTTCAACAGCGCAAACTCGTGAGCAGAAAATTCAGAGGTACTCTCGTACTCTGGCTCCAGACCCAAGTTCTCGGTGAAGTCGTGCTGGTTCATTTGCTTGCACCCTCGATATGCAGAATATAACATTGTTCGGATGTCGTCGAGCGCAGAATCGTTGCGGAGCATATTCCCCTCAGCATATTCAACCCGCAATGGAATCATGTCGTACAGAGTCTCCCACGAACGATGGCCTTGCCATTGCGAAGCCCCCGGTCTATATTGTTGTTGGAGACTAATTGCGGACGGACGGGCTACAAGCAACTGGCTAATGTACTCGAGCTGAGGTGAATCTGGGATTATTCCTCGGCAAAGAACAGCAGTTCGGCACAGTGTCATGAAATCAAAACCAGTGAATTCGGGATTGCGTCGCTCCAACCTTCAGATTATGCTGCAACCACAAAATAAAAAAGAAATAATGTTTGTGAGTTTTTCTTAATGGATAAGAGAAGAGTTTGCGGCTGTACCTGCAGAAGAAAGATGTCCAGAATTCGTAGACCGTCTTCGATGGACACTACACGGTCCAGTAGCTTGCGAAGCTTGGAATGTATAGCCTCCAGCTGACTGGTAGAGACGACTCGGACAGAGCAACCTCCTTCGCAATAGTTGCTCGTCTCTACGAACAGGTCCCCAGTATGAATCTGCTCTAAATTACTTTTGACGCAGCCTTCCCATTCGCTACTTGAAACACGGATATCCGATGGATTCATTGTAGCCAAGGCAGCGGTGAACATGCGCTCCATCACATCTGGAGATCGAAGCTTTCCCTCCACGTCGTACAAACCTTCAGAAAGTCTCTTAGATAACCACTGTCGCTTCACCGAATCGCTTATTTTCTCAGTCAATCTCTGGATAACGTGAAAAGGGTCTTGTTTCACCACTACAGACTCGCAAAAACATTTTTCACGAGGTTGCGCATGCCATTTGCGTGATCGCACACACAAAATCGCTCAATATGAGAAGTGGAGGCCAGCTTGTTTGCAATTGGCTGCAAAATAGCGGTAGTTTCTTCATGGTTTTCAGACTTTGTCAGACCCCGCGCGAGCAACTGACCCACTTCATTCTGGACAAGCAACAGCATGCGCACGCTAGCCACTTGTTCTTTGCTTCCATCTGCGCCAAACACCTTCAGCTGGCTACAAAACTTTTGCGAGTGGTCCACCCTAAGTACTTTAACGCACTCCGCAGACGCCATGTGAGCTTCCACCAACGTACTGCACACTGCAGTTTGCGTAAGCCACAATTTTTGGATGACCTCGCTGTCAAGGCACCCGTGATCTGTCATATACTGCTCCACCGGAGAAGCAAAGGCTGACTGTAGTGGGGGTCGGCTCGCTTGCGTTTCTCTATCTCGGTTGCGGCACCAGCTAACAGGGTGTAGTACCGCTTCTGTCGACGGCGAACAATGTTGTTGGTGGCCCCTGATATCCCCTTAGTTGTCAACATACTATCATATACAAGGTCAAACAGCTCTAGCGAGATGGCAGATTTGTAAGTAAGTAGATATGGAAATGCTAACAGCACTTCTTTCGATGTGGACAAGTATCTATCATCAATTGTAGTAAAAGATACTTTAGACGCACCTCGGCAAACGTACCTTGCGTAGTATATTGTGGTTTTATGATCGACGTCATGTACCGTTCGCTGCAAATATTCTTTTACTTGAGGAGTGCAGTGGCAACCCTCTGTAACACAAACGGGCTTTCGTGTTTCTGTTAAAGTGTGACGGGGCACACAGCACTTCTTAATAGAGGAAGCAGGAGTATACAAACTCCAAGTGAACAGCCGCTCACGTGCCCCTGGTCTGAAGGGGACGACTTGACTTGAAAAGCGGTAGATCTAAGACTGAATGTATTTATAGGTTGGTACAGATTTGGCCTGCATACAAATCCTAAGTTCCCTATAGTTTGTGTCATACAAAATGTATCTGTTGGCTCTGAGGCCACTTGGGTCACTATCCAGGGGAGTGACCGATGCAACCATCCCGGAATAGTGACAGGGTCACTATTTCATGTAACCCCGTTACATAAAGCCTCCGGAGCCCATGCAAGCGTAGGCACCTTAAACCAAGCAGACAACATAGCACCCGACTGCTTCTCAATGCAATGCAATGATTTACGTGTTCGCGTAGCCAAATTACACCTGCGCTAGTCTCAGTTTAGCTAGTCGGCGGCATAGTGTGGTGTCCGCATACGTCGAGTCTCCTTTGGCTGGCAGTGAGTCAGCAATGGTAGTCATGAGGGCCTTCCATTTACGTCGGTCTTGGGCAAGCAGTCGAAGTCTCTCCAAGTCTGAGCTGGTGCGGAGGCGGTACCCACACCCACTAGCATCAAGGTCCTGATCAAGGACAAGAGGCAGTGTGGTACGGGGCCTACCTCTCCACTTGCTGCTGTCTGAGGAAGAGAAATACGCCTTCATCTGGATAAACGCCGGGATATCTTGTGGTCGCCGTAGAATGTGCCCGAGAAGCCCCCACCTCGCAGATGTGATCCGGTGACGGAGCGGCCGCTCGTCACACGTTGCGTAGTGATCAGCGTTGGAGATGTGGTACGGGTAACGCACATTGAGGACAGACCGTAGCTGGCGACGGTGAAAGCTTTCGAGTCGGTGAAGCTCCGTTGGTGTAAGCGCCCCGGTCCCGCAGTTGTAGAGTAGTATCGGCAGTACGTAGCAGTTGTAGAGGCGAATTCGTGTCGTGCAGTTGTAGAGTAGTATCGGCAGTACGTAGCAGTTGTAGAGGCGAATTCGTGTCGTGTCTGTGATACGGTGCGATCTCAGCCAGACCGTCCAGAGCCGCCGAAGAGGAGCCGCAGCGAGTATTTTCCGACGCGATACGTCATCGGCATCTCCGAGCAACGAGCCAAGCTTCCGCGTAGACCTCCATGCTTCTTCCTCTGCACGAGCGTGGGGGTCGGCACTGGCAGATGTCAGGCAGCGGCGGAGAATTGTGTGCTCCGTCTTTGCCGCGTTCATTTGAAGCGACCAGCGCGCGAATACTTCCGGGGCATGGATCTGGATGGGCTCGACGAGGGCGGGGTCCCGACAGATAAAGTCGGCATCGTCCGCATACACGATCATTTGCTGGAGCAGGTCCGGCGGCATTCCAGGGTGACTAGCTAGATCTCTAAGTGCTGCTTCTAGGTAGATAACAAATAATACTGGTGAGAGTGAGTCGCCCTGTGGCGTACCTGTGTTGCTGCCGAATGGTTGCAGGATCTGGTGGCCGATGCGGAGTGAAAGCGTTGTGTCGGATAGTAAGAGTCGAATCAGCCGGATTTCGTCGTCGTGTAGAAACTGCTGTAGAACTTTGAGGAGTTTGGCACGGTCGATCGTGTCGAACGCGCACGAGAAGTCGATACCCAGTACATGAACGATTTCGCGATACTTTTGTACCCGTGCGCACAGCCACTTGTGGGCCCACACCGCGTCAGCCGTACTGCGGCTCTTGCGGAAGCCACTTTGGTGGCCTGAGAGAAACTTGTCGACCGCGGGTGTGATGCGGCGGAGAACGATGAGTGACACCGCTTTGCGAATAGTGTTCAGGAGAACTATCGGGCGTAGGCTTGAGCACTGCCCTCGTGGCTTGTTCGGCTTCTGGAGACACAGCAGGATACCTTGGCCCAGTGGGATGGGTTCACCGCATTCGAAACTGCGGTTTAGTAGATGTGCGAGTCGTGGAGCAACGTCAGCAGCGGCATACTTGAGTAGTTCACCAGGAATAGCATCGGGGCCAGCAGCACGACCGTTGTTCAGTCGAAGGAGGGCACCACGGACTTCGTCCGGCGTGATTGGGCAGTCGAGGGGTTGAGCTGTTGGGTCTGGCGATACTTGAGCTTGATCTGGATTTTGAAACTGTACTTGGAAGTGATCTCGGACAATTTTGTTAGCTGTGTTTCTGTGAAGTATATACTTACCTGATGAGTCTTGAATTAGAAGCTGCTGTGTCGGTTTGCAGGCGAGATCGCGGACGGCAACGAACATTTTGTGAGAGTCGCTTGAAGCCTCGATGCGTGAAACCTTTTCGTCGAGGGCCATGTTAGCGAGGTCACAGCAGCGAGTGCGGATCTGGTGTAGGATCTTGTTTCGCTGAGAGCGCAGCAGCGCTGTGTTGGCCGATGTGTCGTTGTAAATGCGGAGCCGGAGCTGGCGTTGTTGCTCGGACAGCGCGGCGAGCAGCGGATCATCGTTGCTGCGGCAGCGTCGTTAATCCGGCGAAGAAAACCCGATGGTCTGCGATGCTGCTTCGTGTAGCTTCGCAAAAGTGTCCTCCCATTGCAGGTTGATAGTGGATCCATCGTCAGCGTCTGCGGGGGGTAGGATCCGTTTAACGGCTGATGCGTAAGCGGTTCTGGAGTCGTCGTTGTGAACTAACTCGCTGCGTGCGAGGTGAACAGTTGTGCCGCTTGTGCGACGCGACGGAAACCGGAGGCGACGGATGTGCTTGAGCTCAAAGTCCGCGGTGACGATCTTGTGGTCGGACGGGGTGATGGCCCCACCCCAGGACTGGGCATCTAGACAGAACCGTCTACAACTCTGAGGGCAGAGTACGTAGTCGATTTATTGTAGACACAGTGTGTCCGCTTGCGCTGGCTCCAGGTGGTCTTGTTTTTCGCTCGCTTGGGAAAGGCTGTATTGGTAGCAAAGAGTTGATAAGTATCACAAAAAGCAGCCATGAGGTGGCCGTTCCGGTTACGCGTGCCTCGTGCATGAGGCCCGAGAAACGTTTCTCCGGTTGTTTTCTGCCCGAGTTTTGCGTTAAAGTCTCCGGTAATCATGGTGATATCTCTGCGGGGGAATTGGTCCATGGCTGCTCGAAGGTCTGCGTAGAAAGCATCTACTTCAGTTAGTGGGCGCCCGCTGTGTGGAGCGTAGGCCGTGACGATGTTGATGGGTCCTGTGTTAGGTAGCCGCATCTGCAAGATGCCGATACGGTCGCTGTGAGCCCAGCACCGACGGAGGTAAGGAGTAACGCGAGGAGAGATGGCAAATCCAACTCCGTAGCGCTCTTCCTGTGCCGGCAACGTTAGTAGTAAGTAGTCTCCGACCTCAAAGCGCCCCAGCTCATACAGCTTGTCTCTTGGAGGCCAAGGATATCGATCTGGTAGCGGCGCAGGTCTTGGGGAAGCGTTTCAAACTGCATGTATAGCGAACCTAGGGACTGCACATTGAACGAGCCTATTCTAAGGCGGTTAGTGCGGTTAGTGCGGTCAGTGCGGTTAGAACGATACGGAAGGGGGGTTGTGACGGGTAGTACTGCTGGTGAAGGTGGCTGCCAAAGGGAGAGACTCGCAAGGGACTTGCAGACGCCCGAGAGCGCCTGCCGGAAGCCCGTGAGCGGCATTCGCCGCCGTCCACGCGTTCCGGGGGAGGGCGTCACTCCAACCCCAACCAAAAAGACTGCTTCTCAGGTAGCGAAATCGCAGGGGGGAACTTCCTCATTGCGATGGCTTCTTGGACAGCGCCAGCGCCAAGGGCGGCCATCCTAGCAGAATTCTGACTTTCTCTGAACTACAGTTGGAATTAAACGGCGTTCTGAGATCTAATTTCGGCGGCGGCGACCTGCGGGCTTGGCGGCCCGCCAATGCCGAGCAGCGGGGACAAATACTCCGCTTAGGTTCGACTCGAAGCGTCGACAAATTTGTGCCAAAATTTACTGAGGCTCCTCGACACCTGGTCGGCCTGTTGCTAGGGGGGGGCGTTGTGAACATGCGCTGAGCTGCCGTGCACTGCTGAGCCACAGCACAGCGAGTTGCGTGAGTTTATTAAGTGTCGGGCCTCTGTGGTTGTACTGCGTGCGAGCCGTCAGTCTCCTCGAGTACATCAGAGTCCGATGATCAGCGGCAAAGCTTGTACAGTAGGAGCTTAACTATCGTGCGGCAGAGCTGGACAGGGAATGACTTGACAGTGAGTTGCTGGGGCCGATAAGGTACCATTTCGGCACGGCCATGTGTGAACTGGTCCCGCAATGGCCAAACTGCATGGAAGCAAAGCCGCATGATACCGTCGGGCCGAGAGCACCTTTGTCGAGCTTACAGCAAGGTGGTATCGCATCTGTGTATCATAGCATCCGCAGTTTGCACTCGTCCGCAATAATGGTCAGTACGTACGTGGTGGGCCGATTAGGATGCCCCTAGCTAGGTCTGCTTGGTGTCGAGGCCGATGATCGAATGCAACACGGCCCATGCCACGAAGGTCCGAGGGCTCGTCGGGCGGCGAGCCACGAGCACCTTGTTGCTATCGAGGCGAGATTATGATCCCGGCGAGTCACGTGGAGTAATCCATGCGCGACTTGCGTAGCGACACGCAGACAGCAAGAAGTGTAGGTTCTCACGGAGGCACTCCTCCACTTGCCAACGACACCGAAAATGCAGCAGGCGCGACCAAAGTTCACGGAGGCCGAGCTGCTAGACCTGCTCGCGATACTGGACGACACAATGGAGGGCGTTGGAGTCGAGGTGCGCGTGCTGCAGTCGAAGAAACTCTATTCTGCGTTGATATCTAAGTGTCTCTGCGCAAGCAGAACGTAAGGATTGAGGAGCAGCCCAGCGCATGGGATCCGTCGGTGAATGTGGTGCTGGATGGAAGCATCTTCATGTCGGAAAATGACTTTAAGCAGTTCATGAAGTCGCTCACATCGGTGGATTCGGCAGCGGCGCCAGGAGAACAGACGACAGGTGGACTGTTCGAGCCCCATGCCGGCGCCAAGCGGGCGACCATGTCGACGCCAACGCAGAGACCGAAGCGCTGCCGGAAAACGCCCAAGCAGGAGATTGATCACCTTCGTGCAGTTGCCGCGGAGCTGGAGAAGAAGCTCAGAAATCCGAATCAGACACACAACCAGAGCAACGTTGGCTCTGACCCTTTCTGGAAGCGCGTCTCGAGCCGCTTGCTAGAGCAGCGACAGAAGTCTGCAGTGGAGAATGCCCGGCTGCGGGGTCTTGTTCGTGAGCAGATGGCTACGCTCAAGGCATTGCAGCGCTCGCTTGAAAAGACTGCTGCCTTAAGCGTAAGTTATTCATCTGATCAAAATCTCTGCTCGTTTGCCCCACTCACGTATTCGCGGTGATGTGCTTGTTACACAGCCAAAGGATGTGCTTCCAGAACCAGAGGAGACAACAATGGTCCCAGACCAGCCCAAAGAGCTCTATCGAGACCTCTTTCGGAACTTGTCGACTCTGTATAGCACTGGAGTGGATACCATGCTCCCGCAGTGCAGTACACCAAGTCCAAGCCTAGGCGGCAGTAAGAAGGTCAACATTGAGATTGAAACGGACAACAACGATGGTCTTCGGATGTGTCTCCAGGTCATGGAGAACAAGCTCGTCCCCTTCAGCTTCGAGAAGATCAGGGAAGAAGCCTGGAAGATCCTTACAGGGACAAACGGACATGCAAATTTCGAGCTGGTGCGGAGATTTAGTTCGTCCAATATTTCGCTTCAACTGTCTAACCACTGCAATAATGTCATGTTGTGCAAGGCTGTTCAAAACCAAGGAGATGAGATGTTTGGCTGGTGCAGACTGGACAATGCCGTGGGCTCCATGCAAATGCTGGGGAACGTCGCTGTGCGGCAGTACGTGGAAGCGAATAAGCTGACGATCATCTGGGAGTGCGAAGGGGACGTGCACCAAGGTGACTCCAAGACGCGCATCCAGCCAAAAGGATGGTTAGTTGGGGTGCACTAGCTTGCTGTTGCGTGTCTGCACTGTTATTAACAAACTTGTGGCGCAGGTGTGTGTTCGAGCCCGCAGAGGAAGACCCCGCCAACGCCACCATCTTCCGGCGGTGTGCGATTCTGAGTCCCATCATCCCCGAAGACACCAACTTGGAGGGATCTATCGGCACGACCACGGAGCTTGTGCTCGAGAACTACAAGCGCTCCGTGGTCTACATATTCGACGGTATGCTGGCGTCGCTGAATGACTCGTCAGTGTCCTAAAACCAACATTAACTTGCCCACTTCAACTTGCGTTGCTCAAAATTAATATTGGTTTTGAAAGGCACTGTGCTGACTTTTACCGTCATTCATACAGACTTGGAGCAATATGCAAGCATCGGCGCCGCTCTTCTCGGAGGCGGAGCTGCTGGACGTGCTCACAGGGATCGACGCCGGCAGCAGCGCGAGGGATGACGGATCTGGACCTTCAGTGGATGTGGTGCTGAGTGGAGACGTGCTGTCGTCTGAGAGGGCCTTCGAGGAGTTCATGGAGTCGCTCGCCTCGGACGACGACGCCGGCGGCGTCTCGAGGGTCTCCGCGACATCCGACGACAGCCAGTCGGAGTCCGCCAGCACCTCGTCGCCTCCTGCTCCCAGTAGTGCAAGCAACAGGAAGGCTGGGGCCACAGCCGCTGCAGACAACTCAGCCGCGTCGACTGCCAAGCCCAAGCGGAAGCGACGCAAGCATGAGCTGGACCACCTTCGAGCGGTGGCGGCGGAGCTCGATAAGAAGCTCAAGGACCTGAACAGGCCCTCGAGCGAGGAGCAGCCGGGCACGACCCACTTCTGGAAGCACATCTCCAGCCAGATGATGACGGAGCGGCAGAAGGCTGTGGGCGAGAACGCTCGACTGCGACAGCTCGTTCGAGAGCAGGTCAAGTCGGTCAAGGCCATGCAGCGCACGCTGGAGAAGACTCCAGATCTGAGCGTGAGTGGTAGTGCAGTAGTGGCCATGCGTTTTGCTACGCTTCTCTCATTGTGACGTGGGTGTTTGTGGGTCTTAGAAATCGGGGATTGAAGCGGAGTGCTCAGAGCTGAACGGAGCAACTCACAGCCACCAGCCGCCCACCTCAAAGAAGTTGTACAGGGATCTATTCAAGCAAATATCGTCTTCGTACAGCCATGGTGTGGGCAACCTCCTCCTCCAACAGCCGGGCATGCCCACGCCCAGTCTCGTAGACCGAAGGAAGATGAACATGGAGATGGAGACTGTGGGGGAGTGCGGTCCTCAAATGTGTCTACAGTTTGTGGAAAGCAGACTAATCCCATTCGGCCTTCTGCGCATTGGAGACCACGCCTGGGACTTCCTGTCAGGGTCGAATGGCCACGCTAACTTTCAAATGGTGCGTGTACGTCCGTGATGCAGCCGCTATGGGACTTGCTGTTCTCACTCTTGTTGATATCGACAGGCTCTTCAAAACCAAGGGAACGAGCTGTTCGGCCACTGCACAGTGAACAACCCCTGCGGATCCACACAAACTTTGGGTAACATCGCTGTTCGGCGGTATATTGAAACGAACAAGCTGACGTTTATGTGGGAGTGCGACGGCGTGCTCTCACACGAAGGCGCCACCTCGCCGATGCGTATCCACCAGAAAGGATGGTCGGTATTTTTTAGTTAAGCTGGTGGGTAGCCATGTGCTAACCCTTTGTGTCGATGTGTTAATTAATGAGCAGGTGCGTCTTCGAGCCGTCCTGCGAGGACCCACAAAACGCGACGATCTTCCGCGCCTGCGCTCGAATGACGCCCAACATTGGTGAGAGCGATTCGTTCACAGATTCGGCCAAGGCCGTGGGCCAGACCACGGAGTTGATCATCGAGAACTACGAGAAGACCGTCGTGTTCATTTTCGACGCCGTCTTGGAGTCGCTGGCGAACGAGGTCAATAAGGCCAGTAAAGTCGTGTAGGTAGGCTTTTCCCCAGTAATGCATCCATCGCTGTTATTCACACCGGCGGCATTGAGGTCGGAAAAATACACGTCGCAACTATCTGAAGATACGCGATCGACCCCGCCGAGTGTTCCTCGCATATCTTCCACTTTCCCTTTGGACGAGTAGCGAGAAGAAAGAACCAGAAACGCGATGGACCAGGCCCCCGCGTTCTCGGAGATGCTTGAGTTCTTCAACGACTTTCTCGCGGAAGAGCACCCGGAGATCTCTGCGCCGTCGGAGCACGAAGGCAAAGTTCCAGCCCGCGCTGCCTCCAGCAACCAAGAGGAGTGGCCGAACGGGGGAAACGTCCATGACAGCGATGAAGACGGCTGGGAGGAGGGCTACGCGGTTGGAGACGTGGGCGAGGCGGCGGAGAAGGAGTCGCTGGACGATGGCCAGACCAGCTGCGGCAGTTCGGATACGACCGACAAGCTGCTGCGCGCCGAGACTCCGGAGAGCGCTCGGGGCTCGAACCGGTACCAGAAGGAGGAGCTCAAGTACCTGAAACATCGAGTGCGGGAGCTGGAAGACGGGCTCACCGGCAAAACGAGCCCATTTCTTAGAACGGTCTAAATCTAGAACGGAAACTTGCAAAAATTGTAGTTACCGACACTTTTGATGTGGCCCCGCCACTGCCTGCTACTGCCCTGGATCTTGGTAGGTAGTTCCGAGCTTTATCTGGGGAAACCGATGACAACAGCGCCTCTGGTTGAGCGCGGAAAAATAGATTTTTAGTGCCGAACAAACATATTCAAATCAGCCCTGATCGCAAGGCATACAAAACAGAAGTAGCGCCCGGGCCCCGTTTCTAGAATTTGAATGTTCTAAAAAGTGGGCCTAATCTGCCGGTGAGCCGCGTGGGTGAGGAGAGCCACGCCAAGCTGGGCAACTCCATGTGGCAGTGCGTAGCGCAGCAGCAATCGGTCGCACGCCAGCAATCCCTGAGTGAGAACGCCAGGCTGCGGGAGGAGCTGAGTGAACAGATCGAGTTCTCGAAATCACTCGAGAAAATGATCCGCAAGCGCTCGTTTCGGCTGGATGGATGAGCTGTTCACTCATTTGTATTGTTGCTTGTGGGTCGATTGCTCTAGGCGGATGAGAACCCTGCCAGCCAGCCTCGCCGCCGCCGAAAGCTCACGACGAACGCGTTCACCAAGGAGATTCACGCTGAACTCGCGAAAGAATACCTTCGTATGGCGCGCGTGATGCCAATCACTGGCGTAGCGGAGTTCACAACAGATTGCCACAGCGTCCGAGTCAAGTCAAAACGCGACCCGACAGCCCCCAAAGGGGACGTGTTACGCGTTGAGATGCTCGTGGCGAGACGATTTCCGTTTTCTTTTGAGGCGGTGGCGGGGGTCATTTGGGCATTCCTCTCCGACGCCAGCAATCTCACGAAAATGGGGGGCATGCGTTGTGTAAGAGTCGTTCTATCCACGCGTCACTGGAGCTATGCCCACGCGTTGTAAGCTAACGCTGAGTTGTTGGCCGTGTGTTTAGGAGGTTGAGACTTCAGATAACTCGATGTTCGCGACGACGACGTACTCGTTCCCCGTTGGAGAGCGCTCAGCGGAGATTAGATCAACCACTGCTTTCAAGAGGATCCTCGCGTCTGATTTTGTGTCGATGAACTGGATTTCAGAAGGAGAAGTCCGGGCGAAGCGAGGCACAAAGAGTGCATTCAAAGTGCTGGAGAAGGGGTGGTAAGTAGGAGTGTCAACGCCAATGCTATCGGTTGGCTTCTGGACCAAACTGAGGCTTGATGTTTGGCAGGACGAAGATTGAGGCACTTCCTGGCCACGATAGTGGCTGTATCCTGCGAACGGTGACCCAACTCAACCCAACGATTAGTGCGGTAGACGACGAAGATGCTGACAGCGATCAATCACGCTCGCCGCTCACTGATCCAGACGATGATGGTACACACTCGGAGGAAATTGGCGTTCTTTCCGAGCTCATACTCGGTTCCTACGCCAAGGCGACTGGACGCATCTATGCTGAAGTACAGAACGTGCTAATGCAGCAGATATTGAACCAAACGAAGTAAGCTACCGAAGCTTAAGGTCGTGTTCGCGGTAGGTAAAGTTTCGATTAAATTTCGATTAAACTCAAGTTTCGGGCTTGTTCTACCCCCTGTTTTTCGCAAAGAATCAAGAAGAATATTCGGCTCTTTTCGTGTTCGCAAGCTGGCCTTTGCGGACATCAGCAAAGGCGCTCTTACAGACACCAAATGGACTCCGTTCTGAGCTGTTGCTGCTTCTCGTAGTTGTGTGGGGCCCTCTACTTTTTGGGCACTCTACGCGGAAAGAGCAGCATGATCGCGTCGGGAGGAAGCTGGGGCTTACAACAACGGGTTCTTTGCAGCTGTTCCACGCGTCGGGGAATCGATTGCTCTTTCGAGACCATTTCCGAATGGATGTAGGTGCCTTCGACGCGCTCTAAGCCGGTACCTTGCGTGCGTCCACGAAGCGCTCGAGGAGATCAAACTCCCCGTAGAGCTCCCACTTAGCACGAAGTTGTCCCGGTTGACCCTCCTTCGTGGTGGCGCGAGTTGCATCGAGCTGGTCCATGTCTAGCGTAGCAAGTGCAGTAGCTGCGCTGAAATGTTGAAGTGGACAGCTTGTTAGCTGTGCAATACAGTACAATCGCCAGGTGTTTACCCTCCGCATAAAAACCCAAGAGTTCACGAACACCATTGGTTTTCGAACCCGAAAACCTGTTTTGCCAGCTAAGGGAAAATATTAGGGGTTTACAACATGTCAATCTCGGGGATCTAGTACTTTACGTACTGGGAGTGGGGCTCTAGTACCTTAAGTACGACATGTACTCGATGGCCGTCTCGGGGCTCTAGTACTTCAGGCAATCGGTATCCGTCTCGGGACTCGAACACTTCGGGTCAGGGGCGTAACGAGAGCCTTTTTCTAGGGGGGCACCGCCCTTTTCCTAGGGGGCACGCCAGGGCCTAAACTGCAGCTACCGACTGCATCAGATTGGATGTACCAGATTAGTGGTACTTATTGGTAATGTCACGGGTCTCTTTTGTCTCGTGGTAGCATGGCCTGATCTTCAAAACAGCTCTGTAAGCGTCGTTTAGAAGCTCAAACGTTGTTTTGCCACAATCGTGTTCTCCCAAAACCTCATTATCGCCTTCAAAACGCTGTTTTAAGGGCATCGCGAACACGACCTTAAGTTTGCATTTGCGTTTGCATTCTCTAACAGATAAATCTTACAGCATTTTCAAAGATGACCTGCAACAGATAGCACTCATCGTTCATCGCCGTCTATGCAAGCATCGGTACCTGCACTGGCGTCCGGAGCGTGAGACTCGGCTGATCGAAGCTCTTCTTCTTTGTGTGGTCCGGAATCTGTGGAGAGGAGTATGCCTTCCACGGTGGGGGACTCTCTCGAAAGCTGACGCTGCGATTTGCTGATGGCGGCCTCGCACAATAGAAGCAGTGCATCTTGCTTATTGCGAGCAAGCACCTGCGTCGCGGTGTTCCCGCCTCGGTCGGCAAGCTCTGCATCCGCACCCGCTTCCAACAGTAGTCGAGCCACTTCATGCTGTCGTTTCCGAACTGCGTGGAGTAATGCGCTCTCTCGTCGGGCTCCAGCCCGGGCATTCACAAAAGCTGCCGCCAGTACCTCGTCTTCAAGGCTATTCTGCTGGTCTTTTAGAGCTGACAGCAAGGCCTCGCACACACGAAGCAACCCGTTCGCGGCTGCAAAGTGCAGTGGCGTAAAGCCTTGGTGGTTGGGAACTTGCCACCTCTCGGTCTCAGTGTTACTGGAGAGCGGAGTCTTGCTCTGCGATGTCATCGCTTCAAGAAGTAATAGTGCGCACTCCTCGTGGCCATGCTCGCATGCTGACAACAACGGTGAAGAATCTGTTGTTTCGTCTACCAAAGTATAGTCTGCTTTTCGCTGTAGAAGTAGAGCCACCACCTCACCATGTCCATATCTCGAAGCAAGTAGTAAAGCTGATGATCCCCGGGAAAAAGTGGTGCTCGCTGATGTTCCTGCGCCAACCGTGGTCAGTACTTGCTGGTTCACAGTAGCGCCGTGGTCCAGTAAGAGTCTAGCTATTTCAACGTGGCCGTTCATGCTCGCTGCTAAAAGAGGGCTTAAGCGTACGTTGACGTCTGCAGCCGGATTGTACACAACGCCGACTTGCTTGTCGATTGTCGGCACTTCTGATGTTGGTTGTTTCACGGTTCTAAGAAGCTCCACAACGACAGGAGTCAGACCCTCCAGACTAGCCAGCAAGAGCGCCGTCACGGATTTCTCGTTGCTAGCGTGCGGCTTGGCACCGTGACTCAGCAACCACAGCGCAGCTTCACAGTGCGCGTACTGCGTAGCCGAGATGAGCGGAGTGCTTTCCCACATGCCTCGGATGTTGACCAACTCTTCGATGCCTTCTTCTCTCTCATCCTCGTGCGAGTCTGGGCTCAGTGACCTTGGCTGTTGGTACCGCTGCAATAAGTCAGCCATCTCGGCAACGTTACCACGCTTCACAGCCTTGAGAAACTGCACCCGGAGGTCAGCACGAGTCAGAGGTTCATTGCTTGCTGAAAACTTGGAGGCGGCTGGGTTTTGAGTTGAGGTCTGTGAAGCATGAGCAGGCCCTTGTGGTTCTGGTACCAAGGTGTTGAATTTGTGATGCTTGTTTCTCTTGGTCTTCGTGTTTTGAGGCACTGCACTGGCCGCGACAATGGAGAGGGGCTGGTGGGGAACCACCGAGTTCCTGGAGAAAAGGCCACCCATGCCACTGCCTGAAGCTGAAGAAAGGCTCAATCACCGAAAAAGAGAAACGAGTCTTACAAGCTACTATTTATACTAGTGCGTATTGCTATATTTACATTTACAACGCAGACGCCAAAGTCCAATGGTAAATGCATGAGGTTCACTCTTGCTTTTTCAATTCGAATAGCGCAAAACAATGACCGGCGCCCTCGTAGTCGACATGTAGGTGGCCATGCTGACGGGCACCATAGACCTGCGCGCAGAGCGTGTCCACGGTGACGGCGATGAAGTCCGTGCTGCATGAAGTGTAACTACTAGAGATTGTCTACCCCACTCTGCATTGCGCGGCATACTGCATACTAAACTGGTGTACTTCAGATAGTTCATAGTAGGATTACGGCATTTCGACTAGTCGCACGAGTTGTGACTTCAACCACATGTACAGGTGCTAGAATGACAACAAATGCACAACTGAATGAGTAAGATACTCTAGTTCAACATCGTAGGATTTATAATGATAGGTGCTCGAGAACGGGTGGCGGCACAAGGCACACATGTATGTTAGGGCAGCGACATTCAAGTACCAAATAGGATCCCAAGTGCCTTTGCAAGCCACTTTTGGAGACTTTCCACACGTCATCAGTGTTTGATCACCGAAAGCTTTTGCTACAAAACAATTTGGTTCAGCGCCGTCCTTAGGGTCAATGCACGGTGTGTAGCGGGAACATAGTCGTCATGCAGCGGCGTTTCTCTGTCTTGCGTTAAAATCTACAGAAGCTGGGCGTGGTTTGATATCGCGGATACAGCTCGATAGATATGCTCTGCGTGCAAAGCTAGCGAGGTCAAGCAACTTGGACGCGATCCCGCAAATTTGACGGTCGGTGTCTATCTGGATAGTGAGCCAGACGTACTAGTAGAGTATGACCTGTACATACCAATTGTACACACAGTCAACGCGCACTGTACTCGAGGTTCAACAATCCACACATCCTTCTCGTTGGTTTTTCTGTTCGTAGTACGGACTCCGTGCAACGTTATAGTACCTCGACTACTGTGCTCCCAGTAGGAGTGACCACTTCGTGGCACGCACTTTTAGCCACATCCAAAGGTGACCGACTGCAATGTAGTCTGCATAGCTCAGTGCTGTACCAGGGCTGTGGAAAATATGATTGCGATTGTAATATTGTCAAGATTGTCAATCACAATAATTGATTGTTCCGTGATCTCAGTCGACAATCCCGTTCCCATATTGTCCCTTTACTGATTTTGAGCCTTTGCCAGTGATCCGGTAGAGCAATATGCAACACCAAGCCCATGGAACCGATCCTAGACTCATCAAAGCCTTTCTGTGTCTTCTCCTACTTCGAAATGCGGAAATGAGGGGTCATTGGGTGCCCGAACGGAATACACGCTCAACATGATGAATACAAGACCCAACATTGCTTTTTGCCAAGGCTTTTGAAGGTTAACACGTATGCAATCGAATAAGCAAAGATCTTAGGGCGATAGCGCCGCCAAACGAGTAAAAATATGAACCTAGCAGAGGAAATACAAGCGAGAACTTAGATTGCAATCTTTTGTTTTTAGGATTGTCAAGATCGCAATAATTGATTGTTTCAGATCTGAGTCGCCAATCAATGAACAATCTATATTTCCACAGCCCTGGTGCTGTACTGCATAGCTAGCCCGCCCATCCGCATGAAAAGGTATCGTGTCATGATCAGACGACAACGAACTGCTAGGCAGCCATTGGACTAATCGCGCCAAGTCTTCACTTCTCGTCGTTCGATACCATGGCACGAGTAGCTCACTCTAAAATTTGCCAACAACAAGCCACCAAAGCCCCGTTCTCCGGTCCTCACTTCTTCGCGATGAACCTCCGCTTCTTCTTCGTGACCCTCGTCGCTGTTTTCACTGCTGTTGCAGATGCCGGCTCCATTAACCATGATCAAGTGCGCCCATTCGCTCAGCCGAAGCCTGCTACTGTATCTGAAAAAGCTGCCGTCAAGTTCAACCCCCAGATCCACATCACGAACGGATGCCATCCGTACCCCGCCGTGAACGCTGCTGGGGAGACGAGTGGCGGCCTTCAGACGAATGGAGCACCCAGCGCTGGCTGCAAAGGCTCTGGCTGGGGTTCCCAGGTCTACGGCCGCTCCACCTGGTACAAGGGCCGCTGGGCCATCATGTACTCGTGGTACTTCCCCAAGGACTCGCCGTCCACCACCCTGGGTCACCGTCACGACTGGGAACACGTCGTCGTGTGGATTGACAACCCTGCTGTTGCCAACCCCAAGATCCTCGCAGTCACGCCGTCGGCGCATAGTGGCTACTCCAAGTACGCTCCACCAAAAGCCGGCACCGTCACCGGCAACACGGCCAAGGTCAACTACGAGAGTCACTGGCCCGTGAACCATGCACTGGACAGCACCGACGTGGGTGGCGACGCCCAGGATCTCATTATGTGGGAGCAGCAACACGGCAAACTTCGGCGACGCCAATGTACCCATGAACGATGGAAACTTCATGACGAAAGTCGGAAAGGCTTCCCCGTGGTAGATGAGGGAAGAACGAGGAATTAAACTAGCTAAGTGGATTAGGAGCATTTTTGAAATCGTAAGTAGGTAATGTTACCTAAATGTTACCTGTAACATTTCCGAACGTAAGTAGCTATTTCTGGACGATTAGCGTTTCAGATTGAATATTAACAAAAACTAGAACAGCAGAATCGTACGATTTAAAAATAATTGGTTTGCTAAATCGTACGACTTTCCTAACTTTTAAGTTGAGTCGCTACAATGAAGCCGCAAGGATAAGATCGTACGGTGTTGCGGTCGTTTAATATTAAAAATAAAATACAATCGTAAAAATAAGTTAACTTAAAATATCGTACGTTTTGCTAACCCGAAGTCGTAAGCCTTTGGAGGTCGTAATATTATTATCAAATATAGTCGTAAGCGGAAGGTAGAGTAGAATTCCCAACAGTGCTTATACCGCTTTGGTTGTCTCAGCACAGCATTAAAAATAGAGCGAATTAGTTTTCAAAGTCGTCCGTTGGAGTCGTACGATTTCTTGAAAAAGGTAAAAGTACGGTAGCTTTATGAGATGACCACTAGACCACAAGGCCACGCGGACGTACCAACACCCCCACATGTCGCGCCGCCAGCACGCCTCCTACACACATCACACACGCATCAAACGCATCCACTCACACTCGCCGTCGCCATGCCGAACCATGCCGAACCATGCCGACCCTCAGCTCGCGTCTCCGACCCTCCCCGCCCACGCAACGAGGCTCTTTATTTTCGACACGGTGCCGGTCATTCCGAGCGTGTCGACCGATGTGCTGGCCTGCCAGCCGCGCCAGGACGCAGCAGGGCTGTCATCGGACCCGCCAGCAAGCGTGTGGCAGCCGAAACGAGCGCGGACAGGAGACGTCAAAAAAGGCCAAACAAAGAGCAGGGCCTTGCCGGAGATCGAATCCGGGACCTCTCGCACCCTAAGCGAGAATCATACCACTAGACCACAAGGCCACGCGGACGTACCAACACCCCCACATGTCGCGCCGCCAGCACGCCTCCTACACACATCACACACGCATCAAACGCATCCACTCACACTCGCCGTCGCCATGCCGAACCATGCCGAACCATGCCGACCCTCAGCTCGCGTCTCCGACCCTCCCCGCCCACGCAACGAGGCTCTTTATTTTCGACACGGTGCCGGTCATTCCGAGCGTGTCGACCGATGTGCTGGCCTGCCAGCCGCGCCAGGACGCAGCAGGGTTGTCATCGGACCCGCCAGCAAGCGTGTGGCAGCCGAAACGAGCGCGGACAGGAGACGTCAAAAAAGGCCAAACAAAGAGCAGGGCCTTGCCGGAGATCGAATCCGGGACCTCTCGCACCCTAAGCGAGAATCATACCACTAGACCACAAGGCCACGCGGACGTACCAACACCCCCACATGTCGCGCCGCCAGCACGCCTCCTACACACATCACACACGCATCAAACGCATCCACTCACACTCGCCGTCGCCATGCCGAACCATGCCGAACCATGCCGACCCTCAGCTCGCGTCTCCGACCCTCCCCGCCCACGCAACGAGGCTCTTTATTTTCGACACGGTGCCGGTCATTCCGAGCGTGTCGACCGATGTGCTGGCCTGCCAGCCGCGCCAGGACGCAGCAGGGCTGTCATCGGACCCGCCAGCAAGCGTGTGGCAGCCGAAACGAGCGCGGACAGGAGACGTCAAAAAAGGCCAAACAAAGAGCAGGGCCTTGCCGGAGATCGAATCCGGGACCTCTCGCACCCTAAGCGAGAATCATACCACTAGACCACAAGGCCACGCGGACGTACCAACACCCCCACATGTCGCGCCGCCAGCACGCCTCCTACACACATCACACACGCATCAAACGCATCCACTCACACTCGCCGTCGCCATGCCGAACCATGCCGAACCATGCCGACCCTCAGCTCGCGTCTCCGACCCTCCCCGCCCACGCAACGAGGCTCTTTATTTTCGACACGGTGCCGGTCATTCCGAGCGTGTCGACCGATGTGCTGGCCTGCCAGCCGCGCCAGGACGCAGCAGGGTTGTCATCGGACCCGCCAGCAAGCGTGTGGCAGCCGAAACGAGCGCGGACAGGAGACGTAAAAAAAAGGCCAAACAAAGAGCAGGGCCTTGCCGGAGATCGAATCCGGGACCTCTCGCACCCTAAGCGAGAATCATACCACTAGACCACAAGGCCACGCGGACGTACCAACACCCCCACATGTCGCGCCGCCAGCACGCCTCCTACACACATCACACACGCATCAAACGCATCCACTCACACTCGCCGTCGCCATGCCGAACCATGCCGAACCATGCCGACCCTCAGCTCGCGTCTCCGACCCTCCCCGCCCACGCAACGAGGCTCTTTATTTTCGACACGGTGCCGGTCATTCCGAGCGTGTCGACCGATGTGCTGGCCTGCCAGCCGCGCCAGGACGCAGCAGGGCTGTCATCGGACCCGCCAGCAAGCGTGTGGCAGCCGAAACGAGCGCGGACAGGAGACGTCAAAAAAGGCCAAACAAAGAGCAGGGCCTTGCCGGAGATCGAATCCGGGACCTCTCGCACCCTAAGCGAGAATCATACCACTAGACCACAAGGCCACGCGGACGTACCAACACCCCCACATGTCGCGCCGCCAGCACGCCTCCTACACACATCACACACGCATCAAACGCATCCACTCACACTCGCCGTCGCCATGCCGAACCATGCCGACCCTCAGCTCGCGTCTCCGACCCTCCCCGCCCACGCAACGAGGCTCTTTATTTTCGACACGGTGCCGGTCATTCCGAGCGTGTCGACCGATGTGCTGGCCTGCCAGCCGCGCCAGGACGCAGCAGGGCTGTCATCGGACCCGCCAGCAAGCGTGTGGCAGCCGAAACGAGCGCGGACAGGAGACGTCAAAAAAAGGCCAAACAAAGAGCAGGGCCTTGCCGGAGATCGAATCCGGGACCTCTCGCACCCTAAGCGAGAATCATACCACTAGACCACAAGGCCACGCGGACGTACCAACACCCCCACATGTCGCGCCGCCAGCACGCCTCCTACACACATCACACACGCATCAAACGCATCCACTCACACTCGCCGTCGCCATGCCGAACCATGCCGAACCATGCCGACCCTCAGCTCGCGTCTCCGACCCTCCCCGCCCACGCAACGAGGCTCTTTATTTTCGACACGGTGCCGGTCATTCCGAGCGTGTCGACCGATGTGCTGGCCTGCCAGCCGCGCCAGGACGCAGCAGGGCTGTCATCGGACCCGCCAGCAAGCGTGTGGCAGCCGAAACGAGCGCGGACAGGAGACGTAAAAAAAAGGCCAAACAAAGAGCAGGGCCTTGCCGGAGATCGAATCCGGGACCTCTCGCACCCTAAGCGAGAATCATACCACTAGACCACAAGGCCACGCGGACGTACCAACACCCCCACATGTCGCGCCGCCAGCACGCCTCCTACACACATCACACACGCATCAAACGCATCCACTCACACTCGCCGTCGCCATGCCGAACCATGCCGACCCTCAGCTCGCGTCTCCGACCCTCCCCGCCCACGCAACGAGGCTCTTTATTTTCGACACGGTGCCGGTCATTCCGAGCGTGTCGACCGATGTGCTGGCCTGCCAGCCGCGCCAGGACGCAGCAGGGCTGTCATCGGACCCGCCAGCAAGCGTGTGGCAGCCGAAACGAGCGCGGACAGGAGACGTCAAAAAAGGCCAAACAAAGAGCAGGGCCTTGCCGGAGATCGAATCCGGGACCTCTCGCACCCTAAGCGAGAATCATACCACTAGACCACAAGGCCACGCGGACGTACCAACACCCCCACATGTCGCGCCGCCAGCACGCCTCCTACACACATCACACACGCATCAAACGCATCCACTCACACTCGCCGTCGCCATGCCGAACCATGCCGAACCATGCCGACCCTCAGCTCGCGTCTCCGACCCTCCCCGCCCACGCAACGAGGCTCTTTATTTTCGACACGGTGCCGGTCATTCCGAGCGTGTCGACCGATGTGCTGGCCTGCCAGCCGCGCCAGGACGCAGCAGGGTTGTCATCGGACCCGCCAGCAAGCGTGTGGCAGCCGAAACGAGCGCGGACAGGAGACGTAAAAAAAAGGCCAAACAAAGAGCAGGGCCTTGCCGGAGATCGAATCCGGGACCTCTCGCACCCTAAGCGAGAATCATACCACTAGACCACAAGGCCACGCGGACGTACCAACACCCCCACATGTCGCGCCGCCAGCACGCCTCCTACACACATCACACACGCATCAAACGCATCCACTCACACTCGCCGTCGCCATGCCGAACCATGCCGAACCATGCCGACCCTCAGCTCGCGTCTCCGACCCTCCCCGCCCACGCAACGAGGCTCTTTATTTTCGACACGGTGCCGGTCATTCCGAGCGTGTCGACCGATGTGCTGGCCTGCCAGCCGCGCCAGGACGCAGCAGGGTTGTCATCGGACCCGCCAGCAAGCGTGTGGCAGCCGAAACGAGCGCGGACAGGAGACGTCAAAAAAGGCCAAACAAAGAGCAGGGCCTTGCCGGAGATCGAATCCGGGACCTCTCGCACCCTAAGCGAGAATCATACCACTAGACCACAAGGCCACGCGGACGTACCAACACCCCCACATGTCGCGCCGCCAGCACGCCTCCTACACACATCACACACGCATCAAACGCATCCACTCACACTCGCCGTCGCCATGCCGAACCATGCCGAACCATGCCGACCCTCAGCTCGCGTCTCCGACCCTCCCCGCCCACGCAACGAGGCTCTTTATTTTCGACACGGTGCCGGTCATTCCGAGCGTGTCGACCGATGTGCTGGCCTGCCAGCCGCGCCAGGACGCAGCAGGGTTGTCATCGGACCCGCCAGCAAGCGTGTGGCAGCCGAAACGAGCGCGGACAGGAGACGTCAAAAAAGGCCAAACAAAGAGCAGGGCCTTGCCGGAGATCGAATCCGGGACCTCTCGCACCCTAAGCGAGAATCATACCACTAGACCACAAGGCCACGCGGACGTACCAACACCCCCACATGTCGCGCCGCCAGCACGCCTCCTACACACATCACACACGCATCAAACGCATCCACTCACACTCGCCGTCGCCATGCCGAACCATGCCGACCCTCAGCTCGCGTCTCCGACCCTCCCCGCCCACGCAACGAGGCTCTTTATTTTCGACACGGTGCCGGTCATTCCGAGCGTGTCGACCGATGTGCTGGCCTGCCAGCCGCGCCAGGACGCAGCAGGGCTGTCATCGGACCCGCCAGCAAGCGTGTGGCAGCCGAAACGAGCGCGGACAGGAGACGTCAAAAAAAGGCCAAACAAAGAGCAGGGCCTTGCCGGAGATCGAATCCGGGACCTCTCGCACCCTAAGCGAGAATCATACCACTAGACCACAAGGCCACGCGGACGTACCAACACCCCCACATGTCGCGCCGCCAGCACGCCTCCTACACACATCACACACGCATCAAACGCATCCACTCACACTCGCCGTCGCCATGCCGAACCATGCCGAACCATGCCGACCCTCAGCTCGCGTCTCCGACCCTCCCCGCCCACGCAACGAGGCTCTTTATTTTCGACACGGTGCCGGTCATTCCGAGCGTGTCGACCGATGTGCTGGCCTGCCAGCCGCGCCAGGACGCAGCAGGGCTGTCATCGGACCCGCCAGCAAGCGTGTGGCAGCCGAAACGAGCGCGGACAGGAGACGTCAAAAAAGGCCAAACAAAGAGCAGGGCCTTGCCGGAGATCGAATCCGGGACCTCTCGCACCCTAAGCGAGAATCATACCACTAGACCACAAGGCCACGCGGACGTACCAACACCCCCACATGTCGCGCCGCCAGCACGCCTCCTACACACATCACACACGCATCAAACGCATCCACTCACACTCGCCGTCGCCATGCCGAACCATGCCGAACCATGCCGACCCTCAGCTCGCGTCTCCGACCCTCCCCGCCCACGCAACGAGGCTCTTTATTTTCGACACGGTGCCGGTCATTCCGAGCGTGTCGACCGATGTGCTGGCCTGCGCATAAATATGCTTTCGACAATAAGACCACAAAATTATACTTGATATTTGTATTGAAGTAACCATGTAACTCTGGGCTACGCAGTGGGTTACGCTTTGGAGGGTACTATACGTGTAAGGGGTATTATTTGGGAATTTTCGTTAGTTAAAAAACTGTGTTGTATAACCGAAAATGTACGCGACGCGGGACTCGAACCCGCAACCCCCCGATTCGAAGTCTGATACGCTATCCATTGCGCCAGCCGCGCGTTTAGACATCGGAGACATATCGAATGTTATAAAATCTATTAGAATTGTGAGATTGGAACTCTTCCAAAACTAACACAAACGCTGTCGCAAATCGCAATTTATGTATCAAATATGTCCAAATTTACGTCGTGTTTGCTACAACCTATGATACCGACCAAAAACAACATATTTGAGTGCTAAATGCATGGCTACACTCACTCATCGTACATGCTGGCTACCGGTAGTGGCCGTGTCGTGCTGTGGCCAGTCAGCTCATTAGACAAACAATGCGTAGGTGAACTTGCACGTACAACCAACTTGGTTGGTATAATAGTAAGCCCTCAGCCTCTTCCGTTGGCTCGACTGTCAACGGCTTGTGCGCTGACGCGGAGCTTGGAGCGCATGAATGCGCCCAACCCGTGGACAGTGCGTGAATGTACTGACCGGTGATTGGAAGTTGTACCAAAATAGTGGTACGCATCATTTGCGCTCGACGCAATTTGTGGAGACGTCAAACTCGTTTACACAAATTGCAACGGATTTGCTACGATAAATACGCCATGTTTATGACCGTAGCAAATATCGAGTGTGTGTGGGTTTTGGTAGAGCTCCATTGATGGATAGGTGTCTCATTACACTTGGACGCGTCAAGGGGATATACCATAAATAACAGCAAACATGTAGCATTACCGTCAGATCTGGTTCACATGTCAGTCTGATCAAATACTTAATATGTTGGGTTGAACTGTGCATGCTCACAGTTTTTAAAGTGGGCTGTACACTTTAACAAGTCGTATAATTATTTCCTTATAGATTTTAAATCAAAAACGGTTATGCAATGTAACGTTTCCTTATTAACCCCTTAGTTCCCGTATTTTGCAAGGTACTACATAACCGATGTATCCCTCATTCACTTTTTCGCAGCGTGTCGTATTAGACTCCGTGTTTGGAGGCAGGTCGTGTGGCATCATATAATGAAAGTAAGATACTTGTTTACCAAAAAAGAATCGAATGCACAAGCATAGGTTTGTAATCTGTAGGTACGGTTGCAGGGAGGGGGGAGGGAGGATCTCACCCACTAAGCACGATTGGCCAGCTGGCCACACAGTTCAGTCAGCAATTAGACGACTCATCCGCAAGATAATTCCCCGGTCGGCAGAACCCCACGACACCATCTTAAGGAGCACGTGCGGCACCTGTGCCTCGAGGCACTACTTAGCGTATTGTGCCATTAACAAATTTTGGCGGATGAGTTGTTAATTCTGTTGGAACATCCAGTTTCGCGTAGCTATCAGGATGTCAAGTCGTATCTACTTTAAAAGGTGGCACTGTATGATTACGTCAACGCAGTTGAAGGTAGCATCCCCATTTGGTTCTTAAATACGGGTAAAATGCATGTTTTCGGCCCCGGAAACTCTATGATATATAAACCCTAATCTCTTCTAAAACGTTGATTTGTTTCCTGTAAACAGACGTAATTATAAGGGGACTTGCCCCCAATTAGACGCATAGGAGGCAGATTTCGGGTGGACATCATGTGGAGAAGTTGAAAAGGATACTAGATGCGTGATCCTGGAACAGACGCTGAAAGTCCTTAGCTTGCCGGAGCAACAATAAGTTCGATCCGTGCTTTTCATGAAAACAACGATGTCTTCAAGGACGAATAGCTTCTATTGTTGGTAGTTATATGTGGTATTCGCATGGTGACATTCATAGAGGGAGGTATACCCCGGTTATAACAGGTCCCTAGCGATCTTAGATATCGTGGCCTTCTTGCCAATGTGGTTGAATGTGTCTCTGACGTTTCTCCACTGCATGATACCATACAAAATATAAAACGTTTCTAACCACAACCACGCAAATTAAACAGGAACAACTTACCACACACCCTTTCGAGAAACGCGATGACACCATGGTCCACCTCGAATCACGCGCTCTCGTACTTTTGAAGCAAAATGAGCCAACAATTTAGCAGGAGAGTTTTCGGCCATACAACAACATATGCGTTCACAAATACAGGCGGCGTGGTTGAGGCTTCCAAAATCAACCTGCAAGTCAATACCAAAAACAAAATATTTCCGAAAAATAATTCGTAAGCTTGAACAGTCTCTCGTATGCGAAATGATGTTTGATCCGGACGTACATGTAGGTCGACGGGATGACCGCCTTTTAACAAGCGATACGCGACGTAAGGTCAACACTTTTTGTAGCTTGGGCTCATACTGCGGAACGCAGAAAAGCGATTTAGAATGCGAGGCTAATGTCGCTGTGTAGGTACGCGTCTTGATCATCGCCTCGTACTCCGGTATCGACAATTGAACTGATGGTTGACGAGCAATCAAGGCGGAAGTACATGTATCTCGGCTCATTTCCCCTAAAACTGGTCCAATGGTCATGCGTCGGGAGGAAAAAAAACACACGAGATGAGTATTTCCGATTGAATGAAAAGCGTATAACTACAGTACCATAGGTCAATAAGGATTCGTTAGTCGCGGCCTGCTCTAAATTTAGAGAATTTGCCATCTGAGGAAGCGACAACAGAAGCCGACGAGCACGGACAAGGTCACCGCGGGCAATGTGGTGTGGCCTTATCACTTTGCGTTCGACCCTACAGCAATTCAGCAGCAGCGACATTGCCGGCGGTCAGTAGCAGCGTCATGAACTCGTGCCCACCGGCCTCAACACGGACACGGATATGGACGCGCAAGCGCTGCATGGGGTGGTGTACGGCGTAGCGACATCAGCAGCGCTGTGTACAGCACGGTAGGCGCGGTGAACGAAGGGCAGCGCGATCTACGGCTCCATGCACCCGAAGAGCGGCAACGTCAGTGTTCCCAAGGCACACCAGGACGTTGAGACGGGCTCCAAGGTTTCAGGGCGACTTTATCGAGGCCATAGTTGGTCTCGGCTCCAACGCCGCGCGCTGAGGCGTTGACCGTCGGCGGTGCTTGTCCACCGCGATCTGGGGCCGGGGCCCTCGACGACCAACAGCCACAATGGAGGTTGTACTCTCCAGATCCTCGGCTGTAGCTGCATTGCTCTTGACTCCTTGCCACCGCAGCGCGCTGGCTGACACCACATCAAATGTACGCGTATAAATATCTGCTTACCACCCTCAAGGCGTGCTTTTTCACGGCGTACCTCGGCATCCTTCCGACATCACGTCGCCACCCGTCCATGTGTTCATCACAGGTAGTCACGAGTCTAAGGAGGGTCTGTACAGTCAAATCATCCCCGGACAAGACAATATGCATCTGCAGCAAGCGCTCTACACTCTACATGCTATACAAGCTTTCAGAAGATACATGTTTCAAAATAATTGTTTTCAAACCCATGACCATTTCGAACACACGGGCACGAGGAACGATTTTCATGCGGCTATTGTGATCGTTATAGGTATCGTTGCACTCTGTGCAATATCTACATCACATCGCAAGATACCGAAGTTACTTGTGAGCTTCAAAGCTGCTACATATTCGCCTTTGCGCGTTTTGCAGTTTTTTAGACTTTCTTCGAGAATCGTGATTTCCGTTGACCTTAACCCTTCTAGCCCCAACCTTATTCTGTAGTGATTATACAGAATAAGATGACTTGATTAAAGTATACGTCAAAACTGCTGGAGGTATGCTATTGCAACCCTTTACAGGGTGACGGTACAGCAATCGTGCACTTCCAGCACAAAATAGCTGCGAAAGTGGACAAAAGATGAACAAAAGATGAACAATGTATCCACCATCTGATAAAAATGGTGTGTGCTCATTGGGCGAAACAAACGTAACACACACGTTAATACCTTTAGAACTACAATACCTGTCACGCTCGGTATGAGTCCGAACCGAGGGGCGTTAACAGCACCAGCCATCCGTCCTTCATGCCACGCGGCGGGTGAGGCCCAGGCGCTGAGGAAAAAAATGCCCAGTTCCTAACTAACGGAGTGAGGAGTAAGGAGTGAGGAGGACTGCATACACGAAGTCTATCGGAGGAAAAAACTGCCCAGTTCCTAACTAACGGAGTGAGGAGGAACTGGGCAATTATTTCCTCCGATAGACTTCGTGTATGCATCTATTCGCTCCATACGAATCATCGCCATCGTCTTGCTAACTAGCGCTGGTGATCACTTTATCGCGCTGTGGCGTTCGCTCATGTCCGTCGCACGCACAGTATCCATAAGATGTAATATACGAATGTATTATCGATAAGCTCTGCTACATCCAAAATATACAGTAGCATGCGGGCCAAACGCTCTCGATGGTCACCCCAGGCTTCGCGCCGTGTACGTCGAAGCGTTTGCTAGAAGTCCCTTGTTCAGTAGACTCCGTTCCACGGCCGCCTTACCCTGTAGCATCCGTCGTATTCAAATCAGCACAAAGCCTTATTCTGTACCTTCTGCTGTATCCACTTGGGTTGGTCTGGTTTGCTCTATAGCATCCGTCATATCCATCGCTGCCGGACAGGTCTATTCTGTAGGTACCATCACAATAAATTCAGTCAATGCACGTTGGTCTGCAGCTTCCATCTAGCCCCTCTATCGCATCGCCTCCATCTGCCGTTTATCCCCTACCTGGTAAGCGCCTGAACGACGCATGCGCTGCTGTGGAGCGCTAGTTGAAGCCGTTGCTACCGCTGCGGATGCATTCATGGAGGTGGTTGGTCCAGGAGTGACGAACGCGCGTCTCGATACTTAGTGGTAGCCGGCAGCACCGCCTCGCACGGCGCACTATGGGCTCGCGCGCGCTTGAATACAATTCCAGACTGACCTTAGACAATATATCGAACAGACTGTAAATAGACTTGCTTACCTTTAGCATCACTACCACGTGTAGAGCTCGAGGTACGTCTGGTCAGGGCGGTTTCTCGTTCCGAAGTGAAAGGCACCGCGATTGGGTGCCAAACGGTCACTATGGCCTTACACCCCAATTTTCCAACCTGTTGGGGATTTATACTCGTCCTTCTATAGCTGCAGAAGAATCCCCGTCTATCTACCCATCACAGATCCAACAGGAATGATGGGCTGATTACTCACTATACAAAAAAGCTATATGCGAAGTTTTTCGCGGAAACCAAGTTTGCTGGATATTAAATCCTGTCGAAATGCTTATTCTGTAGGATACAGAATATGGGGCTAGAGGGGTTAAGTCGCGTATCGCTTGTTAATAGCGGTTGGTGGCATAATACCTTCCGTACGAACCAAAGCCGACCAAAGCCCATCCACTAAAGAAACATGTAAAAAGGGGATC